AGAGATTTAAGAATGTATTAAGTAGTTGGCTAGATGGCTCAGCAAGTAAAGTTACAAGTCTGTAACCTGAGCTTGATCCCTGGGATACACTTGGTAGAAAGAGAGACCTGACTCATACAAGTTATCTTCTGATTTTCACACAGGTGCCATGCATGTGTGTTTACACACACACACACACACACACACACACACATTTTAAAAATGTAATGAAAGTGCATTAAATTATCTAGCATTTGGGAGACTGAGGTAGGAGGATTACCACAGGTTCAAGGGTCACCAAGAATATACAGCTGTCCTGGAGCTTGATTTGTGACCAGGATGGCCTTGAACTCTGAAGCCCACCTGCCTCTGCTCCTGAGTGGTGGGACTAAAGGTGAGTGTCACGACATCTAGCTATTCCAGAGGATAATTCAATCCTCTTGTTTACTGTTACAAACTATTGATGGAAAGTCTCAGTTTGAGTCACGTGACAAGCACTGCTCCACTGCATGAACGAATCTGAGTATCTGAGGTAACTGAAAGTTCCAGTGAATCAGATAGGATTCACTAGGAGGGGCTGGTTAGCTAAGGAAAAGAAGACCTAACAAATGGTAAAAACTTAGGATTTGGGTTACTCTTAAAAACCCCAACTTATAGAATTAATTTACTAGATGCCAGATGAAAATAAAATGGATCAAAAACTGATTAGTTTTTTTGATTCCTGGAGAAATCACATATTACGTTTGAAAGTTTCTGCAAACCTTTGTTCTCAAAGTTACTGGGTTTTGTTGGCTGGGTGTTTGGAGAGGAGTTAAATGTAGGCGTGGCTTTGAGTGATAGCTCACCCTGTGAGAACTTCAAGTAGCCATTGTCCAGTGGTTCTGATGGAGCCACATAACCTGTTTCAAGGAAGTATCAGCTACTTGTGGCCACTACCGGGGCCTCTCCTCACAGCTCATGCTTGTCAGCCCAGATGACCACTCGGATGTTGGGCTAGGAAACCATGGAGACTCCTTTTCCCTAGGGAAATCAAGTCTCAGTTTGTAAGCGGACGTTAATTTCTGTGAGACAGACACAAAGTTCTGATACGTGAAATCTCATTGCAGGAATTCACCCAAGGAAGAAGCAGGAGCCTGACCAAACTGAAGGTAAAAGGACCTCAGGTGACCGTTAGCCAGAGCCAGTCCCTGACAGACACCAGAATCCTTAGCCAGATGCATATGGTAGACCTGGCAATTCTTACTTCAGGAATTTACTCTCAGGAAAGTTGGGGAAGGGTTTTGCTTTTAGCATATTGAACCCATCTTTGTTTATAAAGGGGAAAATGGGAATGGCATTAATGCTCTATTGTAGAGGAGTAGTCATGGAGAAGTGTTAATAAATTTAACAACAACAGAAGCCAAACAAACAGAACAAGCATACAAAAAACAAACACAAAAACCCAAAAGCAGTTCAGGTGAAAGAGATTGCCTGCAGGCCTGAGGTCAATCCCTGGGTTCCACTGTGGAGGGAGGGTGTAGGAAAACGCATGCTTCTAAAAGCTACTCCCTGACTTCCACAGGACCACTGTGGCATGGGTGAGTGCCCACACTCACAGGTCACAAATACTCCATCATTCAGCATGTTAAGGGGAAATCAAGGTTCCCTTTTGTGTTCTAAGTCTGGTTGTTAAAAAAAAAAAGTGGAGACTCATAAGGAAGCACAAGGATCATTGTGTTAGAGTGTCAGAGAAAACAGTGAAGAAGGCAAGGTGTAAATCACAGCAGCTGCCTGAGGAGAGAAACGGAAAGGAGAGAAGACACACGTTTCAGGACCAAGAACACAGACAAATTCAGTAATGGAGTTCAACGAGCATCTGCATGGGCTGGGAGTGGGAGTCTTCAGGGGAATGGGAAGTCTAATGAGTCAGGAGGCCATGCCTAGGCTTTTGATCACACCCAAAGATGAAACCGAAAGAAAAGGAAAAGTTACGGGTTTGACGAGATTTATTTGTTCTACACACACAGACACACACACGCACATGCACACACACACACGGGTATTTTGTCTCCATACATGTCTGTGCAACCAGGTGCATATCTGGTGCCAATGTAGGCCAGAAAAGGGTGATAGATATCCCTGAAACTGGAGTTACAGACTATTGTGAGCTGCCATACGGGTGCTGGAAATGGAACCCAGGTCCCCTGGAAGAACATCCAGTGTTTGTAGCCATCAAGCCCCCAAAGCTACAGTTCTAGAGTTAGAACTGAGAAAGTGGAGAGGCGTTAGCAGTGCTGCATGGTGGAAGCTATGTAAATAACAACATGATCCTCTGTGGAGATAATCATCCTGCCCATCTTCTTAGCAGATCTTCTGGTGAATCAGATTTCCTGTGGAGTGGTCTCTTGACTGGGTGATTGACAAGTCTGTTGGATTAGCTCTTAAAGCAGGAGACAGTAATATGCATTGTTCTAATCTTTGCAGCAGATCAGAATGTCTGTAAGGGCAGGGAAGTGCAAAAGAAAGAACTCAGATGAGGGCTAAAAAA